TCTTTCCCCTGTTTTATGAATTAAGCATTTTTTTTAATCCATAGATAACTGATAATCTGGTTTTTGTTCTGGCCTGTCATTTTATATAGTGGGAAGGTGCACTAGGTTTGACAACTACTGCAGCTCAGAAGTTACTAACACAGTGTGAATTTTATCAGCCTCATAACATCCTATTGTTTCAAAGCTAAGAGAAGCAGTAGAGGTGATACTGTTTTTCCCAGTAAATGCAAGAATGTAACTGAGACCAAAAACAAAAAAGAATTTTAATGAAAATTCCATTTAATTTCCACTTTTTCAAAAGTTGAAAGATTGGTTTTATAACAAGCATAAATTCTACAGAAGATGATTTTGATCTCTTTTCTTTCTAGTGGTAACTTTCCATTTGCAAGCAAATTAGAGGAGCTGAAGTTCCTAGTTGTAAAATCTTGAGTTTCGAAACTGCTGGAAGGTGGATATAACCATGGATTAATTATGACTTGGAGGAGAATGTAAAGTCTAAATAACCAGCAGTTTTCATAAGCGCATTGTTCAAACTCCATGTTGTAGGCCATTCCATGGTGTTGAGCATCTGTGCTATTATAGAGAGTTTTTAAAAATAAACTAAATCTCTCAAATTCTAACACAGAATATATTAAAATTTACCTACATTTACCAACTTGAAAGAAATCTGTCATCAAGATCAGTGTTCCTGAGCTAGGAGTTCATATCACCGCTGCTGTGACCGCAGCATCTGTGCAACTAGGTATCTTTCTTCTCCTCTCCTCTCCCCTTTTTCTAGGTAGATGTCCTTTTATTAAGTACTTGACATTTATTCTATTTTTCTGTCACCGAAGTGGTAGTTAGTACTTCACTTCAGGTTTAGTTATCTAGACCTTTAAGATGCTCGTTACAAATTCTTAATAAACTCGTAATAAAACTTCAGATCATGATAAAGTAAGTGAAGAATAAATCATTTTACATAAATGGCATTTTAGACAATAAAAATAGATTGCATTTCATGTCACAGCAACAGCAATATATGCAAATTTACTCTGCAGTTGCTCTGTACAGAGTAAGTAAAATCCTGTTTTTTAAATTGTTCTTGTTTTTTATAGGATGTGGATGACTTCTTTGAACATGAAAGAACATTCCTTGTAGAATATCACAACCGAGTCAAAGATGCCTCTACCAAATCTGATAAAATGACAAGATCACATAAAAGTGAGTTATTTTTCCAGGGTGAAAATAGTACTAGTTAAAGTGTACAGAAGTGGTTCATTAGGAGCAGTAATTTTTAGTTTTCTTTCTGCATGCAAAAAGTGAATTAATTTCTCCAAGTGTAGTCTTCAGATAATCTAAAGTTTAATCTGACTTTCAAAGTTTAGCCTTTGCTGTAGTAGACTAGATGGAGTAAGAACAGCCTGATGCAACACTGAAGATACCTTGATTCTTCATGCTGTCCCTTTGAAGAGAAACACACTTTATGTAATAATATTAAAGTGTAAACGTGGGTTATATAGCAGTATATGTGATTTTACTCCTAATGAAGTTGCTCCTGATCCAATGAGCTTGCATTCATCAGAATGCAATTTCTTGGCACAGTAGGCATTGCCTTGCCTTGCTGAGCAGCAAATTCCTATCTGGGCCATTAGTTCTAGACCAGAAAGTCAGGTTTCCATTTTTTAGCCTTTTAGAATGGAGACTGGAATGTGTACATTCAGTAGCTTAGTTTTCAGGATCCCTTTTCTTACAGAGGTTAGATTTTTCACTTAGCTGTTGATTTCTTTTCCTGAGCTGAGTGCTAGCTAGTCTACTCAAATGCAGTGCATTTATTGGAGAAAATGGAAAATCTTTGCTTTAGGACTACTGTGTTTGGTTTAGGATTACTGTGTTTTGAGAAGCTCAGAAAAAAGTTGACATTTGTTGCCCTTGATTTTAAGTTTTTGTGCCTAGATAAATCAAAATTGAACTACTAGATTCTGTCTACTTTCTTGAAGTTTGTGTCTTGATTCACAGATTCTGTCTTTACTATCTACAGTAACACACTTCACACAAAACCAGGCCACAAACCTTTTATGAATCTCCATTGGTAAGGACTCTAAAGTGGATATTGAATGAGGCATTAAACCAAGACTTTACTGAGCTCTCAGATGCTTCTCTTGTCATTGTATGAAGACCGAGTCTTTTGTAGCTTTAGTATCTATGCTAGGAGATGGGGAGAGTCAGTTATGGCTTAATGATGTACTAAGGGACTCTGTGTCTTCATTCACTTCCCACCTGAAGTGGTTTCTGGTGTTTTGTTTGCTTTCTTAAAATGAAAACTGAACTTCATTTATGGTAGTTCGTGTCAAACTTCAGGTAGTGAGAGCGCCTTTCACGTTGCTTATAGAACCAGGAAAATTGTTAGAAATGAGGTTGTAAAGGATCTGATGGGAACTGATTGATCAAACCCTTGACAAAGCTTCACTGGTTTTCAGACTTGAATTTCCTAGGATGTTCATTGACAATTTTTATCAAACTGTGAACTGGGACAAATGGCACTTTTTGAAATTCTGGCTGGAGGAGTAGAGCAATGACCTGGGAAGCCTGTTTTGGAAATGGGCAATCTGTACTTTATGGATAACTTATGATTGACAGAGAGCTGCAGGTCTTGCAAAGATACTGGCTTCCTATTTCCAGCAGAAAATCTATTTTTACATTTAAATGGGAGGAACAGAAGGGGAGGTTAATGGCTTCCTAATACCATTCTTCACTGTAACCAACTGCACTGATTCCCTTGGGATGTATGGAGTAATGAATTGGGTGGAAGGTAACCCACTCAATCTGTTAAAATGAGGTTGTGTTATTTAAAAAAAAAAAATAATCTGCTTAAAGGCATATACATTTCAAAAATAACAAGCAAATATATTTTCCTGTTCATTGCTTGGATCTGTTAGTGTTTTCATCATTTAGTTTATACTAAAAACTCTTCAAAAAAAGCCATCTGTGCAAAGATTTGATTTTTATGATTACTATATAGCAATACGTCACTAGCCAAATTAGGCAGCCTTCTTTACAAACCCTGCTTCTAATTTCATTGTTTAAAATGCTTTAACACTAGTGCCTCTTCAACCAGTGAACACTTGTTGATGAGGTAAGGGTTTCCTGAAAATTAGGTGTGCACAAGAGAAGGTGTTGTGCATATAGTGCTGTATTTTCATAGTTTGAAGTTTGTATTCAATTTACTGCTGTCAAGCACACAGACTTACTCTTCGTTATTTTAGACTGGGATTTTTTTTCAAATAGCTTTTAGTCTTTAGGTGCAGATTTAAATTTGAACTTTAGCCATTGAGTTTGTACATCTTCCACCAAAATAAAACCTAACAAAGTTGCACAATAAATTTACCCAGCAGGTGCTAATTGTCTTAAATATTTCTAGATAAATTACAGACTTCATGATTTGGTGAGAGTGCCATGTTTATTATGTGAAGTTATCCTTCATAATAAGTGACACGATTGAAATTTTATTTCGCTTTTGTATTAAAATGTTCCTTTTAGAAAAACACCTACTCTTGAAGAAAGAGAGGAACTTCAAATTTTTCAGAATGAAGTATTAAAACAAGTTCTTGTTTGTTTTTCCAGATGTGGCGGATGACTATAATAGAATTGGTTCTTCATTATATGCATTAGGAACGCAGGACTCTACAGATATATGCAAGTAAGATATTGTTAATAAATTACGGGGAAATTTTGTAAGTAGCAGTCTGAATGGTGACCTGCTGAGATTGGTAGCTCTTGTTACGAGAAAAATAGAATTTATTATAGTTATATCACATTAAGAGATTTTTTCTCTAGTATTTAATTTCTGTAACAGACTGCTTTAATATTTGTCTAGAAAAAAATGCTGTTTTCTGCAGTTTGTAGAAAATTACACGATGAAATGGAAAAATCCTCATAGAATAAGAAAAAAACCCAACTCTTTTCACAGTTTTGTGTTTTTTTTTTTAAGTGTTTTAAGTGCTTTGACATGTGCAGCAAGAACTGATCTGAGTACACTGATTTTTGTCAGTGGTCCCTGTACCAACATCTTGAAAAATAGTTTTGCTGTTCTGGCAATTCTACTGCTTTTAGGAAAAGAAAGGAATCTACAGAGATCTCTAAAACTTTGAAAATAGAAGAGGGTCTCTGTGTACAGATGTTTGTCCTTTAATCTTTCAGTGATTTGCTTAAATACGAAGTTTGGTGTATCTCAAAGTAAAACTTTGTTAACTAGCTTAAAGATGTTGATGCTTGTGTACACTTATTAGAGTTAATGTGACGACAGGTAGGAGATGAATATAGAGATTAACATTTTTATTAATTTACCTGAATTATGGTGATATATGTCCAAACGTGGTGATAGCTTACATATTGATTACTTTGAGTATAGTATTGAGATTTGATGTAGTCTGTTAGGGTCTGTCAGGAACCATGTCTGCCTTCTGTCAAAATAGTATAATTTGACTGTAATTCAGTCTGCTGTTACACTGAACCCTTGTATTGTCTCCTGTGATGAAGATGTGCCACTGTTGCTCAGCTGCCCTGAATTCCAAGTAGGGCATGTGTCATGTTTACTGTGTGAAGAAAAGTACATTGACATTTGAGTGAAGGATGCGTGATAATAGTGTAGGACTGTTAACCAGGGTGGTGGTGTTTGGGGTTTAATTCACAGAAGCATAAAGAATCCCTGAGGAGCTGTGCAATTATTCTTTAATAAAAAACATCCATCCATTATACTTTGTTTGTCCCTTACCTTTTCTTAAGTTGTACAATTCCCAGATGTTTGAAGTGCTACAATCTGAAACTATTATGTTCTCTGAGTTCTGTGAATTTGAGTTATAAGCAGTGCCTTTACAGTCTTTATTGCCAGACGCAGATTATATTTTGAGTTCTAGAAAGTAATTAGACTGTTCAAATTAATGTTGTAATATAAGCTGCTTCCTTTGTGCAGGTTTTTTCTGAAGGTATCGGAGTTATTTGACAAAACAAGGGTATGTACTATGAAACCTTTTTAGATAGATTCTTTGTGTACATCCTGGAAGTGGCAGCACATCTTGTGTCAATATCTGGAAGTTTTATGGATGCTTCTATGTGAAGCATTTAAGCAATGTGTGGTAGAGAATGAAAAAGCGTAAGATTTCAGTCATCTGTTTTGTAAAATCGTTGATCCTTAGGAGTCTTTAGTCTACTAAACATTTGTAGGCAGTCTTCCTGACTTCTGTGTAATACACTAGTAAAGCTGCTGTTCTTCTAAAATGCTTACAGGCCTTCATATTTGTTACTGGGTAGCACAGAACTTGTTATGGAAAAAAGAAATGAGGAAATGTAATCCTTAATCAAAAAAAATGGTGGTCATGCTGCTTTTTTCTGGAGTCAAAGTCTGTTTCTGCAATTATTTGACTCAGAAATACTATCGCTGATGCTTCTAACCAGATTTTCAAATATCATGTCCCTTTTGCCTTATTTGTTTGACTTGGTAGAGCAGAAGATGCGTGCCATGTATCAGGAAAACTTTTGAATGAAAAATGTATGCATTTCCTAAACACACACTTGTATCTGCATAAATATGTACTTTGAAGAAAATGAAGTTAATGGAATTACTTGCTTTGACCTAAAATATTGACTTTTAGAAGTTTTTTTTAAAAATTAAGATTTAAAAAATGCACTTGCAGACTCTGTTTCTAAATTCACAGGAATGTCTGTTTCAAATACAAGCAAATAAGTTTATTGGTCTTTTGGACCATTTAATACGTGCAGTTGCACAACTAGTCTGCAATGGTGCCTTAAAAATTTGTTTTCCTTTGGTCTCAAAAACAACACAAAACTTCCTGTGCAACTCTCGATGCTAGATAAGTTTTTATTTCTCTGCTGTTTTTCTAGTATATGATACATATAATTCAAATTAGGAAGAAAGCATTGTTTAAAATAGAAAGCTAGTTGTCAATTGCTGCTTGCACAGTAAGTTATTGCTTACATTTTAATACAAAATCCTAATGCTGCTTCTCATGATGCATCTTTAAGTATTCTGTCAAAAATGCGTGATTTTAGTTTTTGAAAACGACAATCTGTCATGTACTGTTGCATATTTTGTGTTGTATTTACATCATACAAGTGAATACCCAAAGTGTGCATGTTTTTAAATTGATGGCTTTACTTACTGTTTTTCCAGAAAATAGAGGCCCGGGTATCTGCTGATGAAGATCTTAAACTTTCTGATCTTCTGAAATATTATCTAAGGGAATCTCAAGCTGCTAAGGTGAATTTATGGGGTTTTGTTCAGTGAACTAGTGTTTCTTTTTTTTTAAAAAAAAAAAGGAGAGATAGAGATAAGGGATCATCTTGAGAAATACACAGTAGATAGGTTGAAATGCTGCCACCTCTAGCCTGCAATTTCTCCCTCAGCTGGAAAACCTGGATCTCTGTTGTTGATAAGGAGTAACAATGCAGTCTCTGACGTAGGACTGACTGGAACTGTGTGGTCCACTTACTGAGGCTAAATCGTGCAGTATAATTAAAGACAGTGGAAGAGCTGTTGGTGAATTGTTCATGTATTTGCACTGTGTTTGTTGCTTGTAGACTGCAATAAAGTCTACTTTTTTTTTTAATACTGAAATTGGATACACCAGTTGATCTGCTAGTGCTGATACAAAAATCTGGTATCCTATACCTACAGAAATTTTCATTCTTAGTGTTGTTTGATGTAAGATGATTAAGTAACGTGACAGAATGAGGAAGCATTTGACAGAAAATGTCTGTAGTTAGAGCATGATAGCAATACCTGTTGCACAAAAAATGCTACTGCTGTTTCTTGGGCCCTGTGTGTATTTCAAACACATAATCTAAATCTAGTTTGTTTCTAATCTAAGAAGCTGTGAAATTTCCCGTGATTGCCCCTTCTTAGGCTCTTTGGAGTATCAGCTAAGCCATCTGTTTCTAGGCTCTGTCAGACAAGATGCAGACCAAACAATATTAAATTGCACATCTGATCTAGTATGGACATTATTGTGGCTTGCAGGATGCAGTAAAGTGAATGCAAATAATTTAGTAAGAACGGAAATACAGCAAGAAAGACTGAAATTAATCTGATTTTTTTTTTTAATTACTTGGTATGTACTAAAATCATTGGGTAGATTCTTGTAAACTCTATACATCCTTTATGCTTTTTTTATAGGATCTCCTATATAGAAGATCTAGGTCACTAGTGGATTATGAAAATGCTAATAAGGCATTGGATAAAGCAAGAGCAAAAAATAAAGATGTGCTGCAAGCTGAAACTACTCAGCAAATATGCTGTCAGAAATTTGAGAAAATTTCTGAATCGGCAAAACAAGGTATTTGGATGGTCTTTGATCCTACATTACTACTTGAAAATTAACAGATTTTAGGTGGTTATTAATGAGAATAGACTTTTCTTCTGTTCCCTAAGCAGAACTATAATCTTTTAATCAGTATTTACTTACTTTAGAAAGTTCAAATGGTATTTTCCTTTGACTCCTCATAGCTCCATTAGGCTGAGCAAAGTCTAGCTGCAAATTATTTGTTAACCACTTTTTTTATATGCATAGATTAGGATCCAAAATGATAATTCCTAGCAGTAAAGGCAAACCTTATCTTTTAAAGTATTGTTGAAATTCCCCTTTTGGTTTTATGCATTCTTCTGTGAAGGCAGCAGTCTGTCACAGAGATGATACTACATTAGAAAAGGGAGAGATCATGAAATGAGAAGTTGCGGAGTTACAGTAGCTCTAGAGAAAAGGAACCTTATTTACACGTTGCCTTTTTTCTGGAAACTTACTCTCTTTTTTTTTTTTAGGCTGATTGTTGTGAGTTAGTAGACATCTGACTCATTATTTGGGGCAGATTTGTTCAAGGTTTAAAGACCATGCTCTTCTGTTTTTATCATTTAAGAGTTGTTTGACCCTGTAAATCTGGCTAATGATTCCTGTAAATTAGACAGTGGAGAATGAGTGATCCTATTAGCCGCAAAGGTATATGCATAAAGCATACTTGCTTCCTCCATTCTTCATGCTCGTTTTAGCTTAGTATCTTCCCTAAAGACTCACATATCAGCCTTGAAAGAACAGTGCACATGGAATAAAAGAAATAAATGTTTAAAAGCATCCACATTGCAGTCTTTTTTCCAAAAGAGTTTTGTGTCCACAAAAGGTTAGCTAGAGATGAGGAACTGCCATGATGGTTTGTTTTCATCCAACAGTACAGTAGTCTCTTTGAGCCCAGAATGTGCTGAGATTAAACTTGAGTTTTTTGCTGTTGCCTTCTCTCATCCTTTACCTGTTCTATCCTGAAGGAAAGTCTGTTAACAGTTGAGGGCACTAGTAATAATACTGTTAATGAATCCTTTTTTATTTTTTATAGAACTGATAGACTTTAAGACCAGAAGAGTTGCAGCATTCAGAAAAAATCTGGTGGAACTAGCAGAACTGGAATTAAAGCATGCTAAGGTAATTGTGATCCTTTTTGGCCTGTATTTTGACAGATTTTAAATATTATATGCCTGAATAACCAAAATGGCTCCATTTGTTGTGTGATACACACTTCACATTCAGGAAGTGAAATTTGAATGTAAGCATCATCCAGAAAGGTGAACTTTCTTGAATAATAGAAGGGGGGGAGAAAAAGTATAGGTGAAATATCTCTGAAGGACTGGTGTGCTTGAGGTACCTTTGGAAAACTCATCTCCTTGAAGTCAATTTTGTCTTCAGTTTTATGTTTCTCTAGCTGTTTGATATTTATAGCTGCAGAGTTTGAATACCTGCCTATATTTAAAACCTCATCTCACCATTTTACTGTGAGACAGGAAGTGGTTTCTCCTGTTATCCAGATGCTGGGGACTTGATGTATAGGATAGGCTAACTGTTAAGCGTGAGATCACACGGGTCGGTCTGAAGTCAGATCAATGTTACTCTGAGTATGCTTTTTGAACCTTTTTGTCTTTAAAGTGGTAACAAAATAGGAATGTTGCAGATACCCTTTTCAGCAAAATAATTTTTTACAGGAAAAAAAACTTTAAGGGGCCTGTACTGTCCTTAAATTTCACAATGTATTTGATTCTTTTAATCCATATGAAATTAATGGTTTTGGTTAAATCAGGTTAGCTGCTCTGATTTCATAGACAACAGTGTCTTACTTTAACAGTCCTATAGCAGGAGGTGACTTTCTTTTAAAAGAAAGTCAGCTCTTCTTATTCTCATCACAAATCTAAAAGTGTGTTGACTACCAAGCTTTGAATTAACTCAGAATATATCTGTTGAAAGGACTAGGTAAGAGGTGTATAGTGTTGCTGAGTTGACTTGTTGCTGCTTTACACTCTTTTCAGTAGTATTGATGGTGTCATTCTTCATTCTGCCAAACGAATTGTTTGTAAAACTAATGCACTGTAAAAAGGGTTATTTTGGGGACTTTTTTAATTTAATCTTTGTAGATGTAAGTTCAGCTTGATGGGATATTTAGCTGATAAAGTAATCAGTAAAGTCTGGAACACTGAACTCCTTTTTCAGATGAACAGTGCTTACTTCAATGTACTGTATCAGAAATTCAGCTATATTTGCACTAAAGTCTTAACACTTCTCATAATACTTGGCACTATTCAGCCTTCTTACTTCTCTGTGTGTAACAGCTGTCTATATCCAGCCCTGAGTCTCCCAGAAATCCCCATGTTTGGTCGTGAACGTACTGGTTATGGGTTTTAGTGAAATTAATAGTCCTAACAGGCATACTTGCGACAGTTTTTATTAATTTGCTATATCATGCTTTAATAAGGGAATGAATCCACAGCGCTTCTGTCCTGCTTCAGTCATTGATGCTTCATCATCTTTTGTAACTGACCCTTGCTGAAGTCCCTGCATGCCTTGGAGTGGAAAGCTTAAAAAATGGCTCTGTCTTCTAAAGTGTCCTTAAAGTATCACTTGTATTCGCTCTCTCTGCAAGTCAAAATTTTGTAATAATATTCTCTTGAATTTTGACAGCTAATAACTGCAGAAGGCAGGGGAAAATGCTTAATTTCTGTCCTTTCAACTTACTTGATATGTGCTTCTTGGAAGAGCTTGAATTTTTTTAGCTGTTCTTCATTTGTCACTACAGGTTGTGCTTAAGATGTAGTTCTTCAGATAGTCTGTCTTAGTCTGAGACTTACCTTGTCTTAGTAAATTTACTATCAAGGAGTATATAAGGCTGTAATAGAAGCTTTGAACTGTAGTCCTGTTTTTGAAGGTGAACTTTTTTTTTTCTCTGACCCTTTTCACCTACTTTATCAAGGAGCACTCTAAGATTCACTAGACAGTTTTGAATATTTAAAGCTTTACAATATAAAAGGTCATTTTGACTAAGGGTGACAGTTCTTGAAATTTTGACAAATGTTGTGACTTGCTGAATGAAAGGATGTTTTGTTTCTCACTAGGTTTGAAAGTTCTGTTTTTTCAAAGCTTGTGTTTTGTATTTATTCAAAACAAGCTACTGCAGATATATGAGTTTGGTTGCTGTGCTTTTATTTCTACAGATTCTGAATTGGGTTATTACAGAATTTACAAGTGCAGTAGATCATGTTTTTCAATTTTATATAATGGGGAATTTTCTTATTGATGCTATAACCAGCATATTTGAGGATAGTCTTATGGATAGGTTTTTATTAGTCTGTACGGAGTATTGAAGAATGAAATGGTTTGGTGGAGACTTTCTGAGGTAGTTCCATAAAAGGAAGAAAGAAATTATGAAAAGACTTGAGGTTTTTTTGAGATAGCATTGCATCCTGATGTGTGAAGAGCAATGTTAGGGGAATACGAAGGTTTCTGCTTGTCCTGGAGAGGATGTTTTTCTACTTGTTGCAATGCAAATCATGAACAATACTCCCATTTCAGGGAGGCTAAGTAGCCCTGGTTTTGGCTGGGCTGAGCTGGGGGGTTTGTAGACTTGTAATTCCTCTTGCAGTAGAGCTAGAAGAGGGCTGATGGAAGCAAAAAAAAAAGTTACTTTTTCATGTAGGCAATAAAGTAATGAAGTCAGATCGAAATCCCCCTGCTTTAAGCTTCTGGGCAGAATACTTTGCCTGATGCTGTGGCAGTCCCTGTCTTCATGCTTTTGCAGCTACTGGAGCCAGGTGAAGTTTTAGCAGCCCCCAACTGGAAATTACTTGGCTTGTCAATGGCCTGTGGAGCACAGCACTCCCAAACTTTGCAACATGATCTGTTATTCAGGTCTAAGTGCTCTTTCCAGCAAAATGGCTAACTGGGGAGTGGGGGCTGGGGGGCAACAGATAACACTGGTGCAGGCTTTTGCTATGAGTCTTCTATTGTGTGTTTTCTGCTGGAATGAGTACCTCCAGACTAGATGTCATGCAGATGCATCTGTCTCTGAATCGATTTAGCCATGCGTCTTCTGGACTTGGAGTTGCCTGGCACAGAAGGCACGGAGGTGAAATCTGATGCAGCAGTGGGTGCTGGAACTCACCTGAGAGATTGTCTTTGGGAGGAATTCAGCCACAATGAAGGCTGCTGCATGTCTTACTGTTAAAAGTTATTTGCTCTGTGCGGAAAGAAGAACACAAATCCCAACACAGAGATCGCTGCATTGAAGAAGTCAGAATGACCAGTGTATTGAGAGAAGGTTCTGAGACACCTTGCATTTCGTGAGCTATATCTAGCTGTGTGGCTTTAGAAGACTGGAGGGTGGTAGGGAAATCAAGATTTTAATAAATCAAGGATGCAGTATATACAAATACGAAGTGCACCCTCTCTGCCCAGTTATGTTTATACTAGTTCCTTATAAAACACTTGTTTTAATCTGTGAACATCCTCTTACCCTTTCCTGGTTGCAGCTCAAGACTTTTGAAAAAGCTAAAAATCAGACTGTGGGTTGAGATTGCTTTAAGTTGATGCAAGTGCAAACTACTGCCAGGAAGGATGATGATGCATAACTCTGTTCTTTTCCCTTATGGTGTTACTATTATGTGTGCAGCTGTGTAGTTAAGAAGGAGCTAGAAGTTGCTCTGGGTTTTTCTGAGCTTCACTTTCAGTCTTATTTTCACAGCATCGCTTGTGTCAAAACACAAAGTTTTGTCTGGGAAGGTCTGGGAATAAAAGAGAACTGCCTTCTTAGCAGCAGCATGTACCCTAGATTTACTTAAAATAGCTGCCAAAATGCAGCTTTAGATTCTACTTGGTCTCTGACCGATACTAAACAGATTGATATTTCTTTTTCTATGGCTGTTCTGTCTGATTATCCCCCCATGGCAGTGTTTAGCTTCTGTTTCTTCATGACTTCATACAGCTGTAGCTAATGTAAGACCTGATTAAGTGTTTGAGCATTTAGTGCAAAAGCTGCATTTTAAAACTATTCAGTATTCTAAACAGTTGGATTTTGAGCTGTTGCTGTGTTGGACTTCATGTTCAAAAAGGGAAGTTGATAGTTGGTGAAACTGCTAAGGTTATAATCATGTACTTAGAGCGATTATAGCCTTGGCTATAGTTTCAGAGTATTTTGACATATGAATTGTAACTAAGACAGCCACTTCCCCTAAATAAAAAATTAAAAAATCTAAACATCTCTTTCCACAAATATTAATATATATGCTCTTGCCTCTATGAATTTTTGTGGAAAAAGAATTTGTTGTGTTACTAGCAACAGATGTCTGTTTGGAACTGACAGAAGAAGGGAGTAAGCAAAATCCAATGCTAAGGGATTTGATTAAATGCTTTGTCAGTAATTCCTTCTTTCCTGAAAAGGATGTTTCTGTCACAGTGGTTCTGCCAATAACTGTAATATCTAGAGCTTAGGAGTATGAGTTGGCAAGAAATACTTTTCTGAATCTGAATTTATAGGACTTTCTTGAGTTATGCTGATATAAGTCAAGTATGTCAGATATTGCAGTCAGAAAGAGTAATGGCTCACAGCCTGTATTGTCCTTGATTTATTGTAATTTAAGTAAGGTTGTTATTGTGAACTTTGTAAAGTTGATCTAATGTAAATGAATGATGCGCCTATTTGGAAAATTTCAGTGGACTGGCTGGCTGAGTCTGGAAATGACTGATGTGTAAAGGACATCTTGGTATCATCTTTCCTTCAGGGTGCTACATAGTGGTCTGTGAATTGCAAATATACTTCTTGCTGCTGATGGGCTGTAAAGAGATGGGCAAAAGATTACTGTCACACTTCTGTTATAGGTAACACTTGTGCAGTCCACAAGTACACTTCAGACTGAAGTATTCCATTTGAAGGCTGAAGACTTCAGACTGAAGTATTTCTTTTCATTTGTTACTTCAGTAAAGCCAATAATCAGCTGTTCACTAACAGAGACCTTAGATTTATGAATCCTGTACACCACAAAGATGGGCCACGAAGTCCCCATGCATCTCATGTATATAGAACTTGTTAGTATCACAGAATTACAAGCCTTCTAAATAGTTTGTGACTGTCCTCTGCCAGTGTAGGCATGAAAGGACAAAAAAAGCTCTTGAAGCTGTAACTGACATTGCTGTCTTCTGGATAAGACTGAAAAGGATTCAGTAGGCACAACTAGGAATCTTCTGCTTTGAAGCGTTAAATGTTGTTAATTGCTTAAGCTGGGTTATAAAACCCTTAATGGGGGGATAGAATTACGATTTCTACCTTTTTGGGCTGAGGGACAAGTGTCCTTCTGCCTGTCTACCACAGGTCACTTGGAATGCTTTCAACTGAAAAAGTAAGATTTACAAATTCTTCAGTACTTGTGTGGACAGTTTATCAAGGACATGCAAATCACAGCTACTGATACTGTTTAATTACATGCTTTTTGTCTGTTTGAAGTTTTCTTTACATGTTTCTTTTTGGAACCAAAAAAAATTTAGAGGGAAGCGGTTTCTCCTATGTTTATAACTGGGCATTCAGACTGTTTTGGTCTTGTAATTTATCTGAACCTGATAGGAATTACTCTTAAGACTGTCAACAACCTGACATTGTTTTTTACACAGAGACTTCAGATTTGGGAACAAATCTAGTACAGCTATTTCATAGTGAATAGCCAGTAGTTTAAACTGATCTAAGTAAAAATGAATGCACAAAACAACGTGAATACTGTGAATACCAGGTTGGTGGTTTTTTGGGTTTGGTTTGTTTTGTTTTTCTGGAAAGTAAATCCTGGCTTACTTGTTGATCACATATGCTTAATTTACAAGGGGATCTTTTTAAGTGTCAAATCTGTAAATTCATTCAGAAATCTGAAAGTCAGCCTGTATGTTTTTATGGTAGAGTCAGAATGCTTTAAATAAGATTAAAAACTGACCTACAGGTGTTTGAAAAGAAGGACAGAGCTTGGTCTTAGAGATGAAGCTTAGTTAATGTTCTGATAATCACTTCTGTAGCTCCGGCTCTAATGGCTAAACTCAGCTTTGATGGCTAAATCACCTGGCTAAGCATGTAAATCAGTCTGGTGTCTTTCAAACAAGGCCTGTCCTTGAACAGCGCTACAAGCTTAGATGGCTGCTATAGCGAGGAGATACCGACTGCTGTGAATTGGTTAACACTTCTCGATGAATTCAGTATTCAGTATAATACATGAATACTTCTGCTTTGGGAAGAATATTCCAGTGACAGAGTAATGTCAATAATATATAAAAAATGGAAACGTTGTAACTTTGCACTTCATAGCTAAGAGAGTGCTCTGCAGTGACTAGTTTTTGTGACCAGGCTAGATCTTTAGAAAGAAACATGGAAAGAGTACTAAATGCTTATTTTTGAATCTCAAGTTGGCTCCTTTTAGTTCCATGACACAATGCTCCTACATTCAAAAAACTCTTTAAGATAGAAGTTACTTACACAAATATTTCTACATAAGTTTAATACCTGTCTGTTTGCCTTTACTGGTGTCATTGCTATTAAAAAAAACATCTTTTTGTCACAAGCGTAAAAGAAAGTAGGGAAATGTGGTTATATTTTTTCTTTATTTTTACAGGGTAACTTACAGCTGCTGCAGAGCTGCCTGGCAGTGTTAAATGGTGACACATAAGCTACGCTCCGTCCTCCTACTAACAAGGGCTGCCCTCCTGGATTTTGTTTTCATGACTTTAAGTAGGCATTTATAGTTCCCTGAAGAAAACATTTGACAAAGTGCACATAAGCAAACTCCTTCTTTCAAAAGAATTAAAACAAACACCTGAAAGTAGCTCCAGACTATATGAAGCAACAGCATACTTGTTAAACATACATATTCATGTTTATTTAATCATTATATGCTTTCATTGTTCAGAAACCAAATGCTCTGTTTTTGTGAAAATAGCCAATATAATTATGTTCATGTTATGAATACTATGATACGGCTGCCAATCTTATTTACCTTTGTAAGTAATTTCTGAAGTTCACCATTTGAAGCACATTGTTCAAATGGCCTAAATACCATTAGATATTTGAATATTGTTACTATAATGGCATTGTATACACTTAATTTTTTTCCATGTACTGATATCAAGAAACTTAATCTTTTTTTCAATTGTGAACATTTCTTAGAAATTTTGGAGAACTTTGTGTAACCTTTATAACTATGGTTTAAAAAGAAAAGCAAATGCATTAGTATGTTTGCCTTAACTTGTAGACTAATCCAATTATTGTAAAATAAACCATGAAACCGATGATTTTTCTAAAATTATGCAGACATTGTATCATCTGTAAGCTTAATATTTTCTAGTAAATCAGATTAATTTAATTAGCTTTTTCTCTATTCATCCTGTAAAACCATTGAGTAAGTATTGGAATGGTCTGATGCTACTCGCCCAGTAATTTTTCACTTGCATTCTCAGGTTTATCCATTTGCCTGTCCCTTTGTCTGTGACTTTCCTATCCAGTGTACTTAAACTGTTTTGAGCTTGGTGGCCGACTCTGCAATTTCTTTGGCAGAAATGCTTTTCAGAGAACTTCTTGGGTCTCTTTTCAGAAGGGGGAAATAAAGTAGCAGAAGAGAATGCAGAACATAAAATACCAATGAAAGGTAATATTGCCCCATTTTGACGGAGATAGAAGCTTTGCTTCAGAAAAAAAGTAAAGGAATGCCTGAAAAGGATCTCATTCTGCTAACGACTTGGAGCTGTGAATCCAGTTTTGTTTCTTGTCTTGCTTTGTTTCTCTTACTTGAACCACAAAACTTTTCCAAGAGGTGCTGTTCTGTTGTGTAATTTCAGGATGTCGTAAAATTAGGCTTTACTTGGTGAATTGCTCTTCACGATGGGATTGCTGCTTTATACGGGTTTGTAGACCTTCAGTGGAGTAGCAGAATTTTGCGTGAACGGGATGTTTGAAGGTGCAGATCACTGTAAGTCAATGTCTCTGTGATTACAGACTCCCTGTACTGCCACACAGAGGTGTGTGGTTTGTTTGGTTTGGGGTTTTTTGTTTGTTTTTTTTATTTCTCAATAGGGTGAATTGCACAGTGTGGTATACTTACCCTGCCGCCTTGCACATCAGAACACTTCAAAGGCAGAGGAGTTTCTTAGCTGAACATGCCCTTTGCATTGTGCATTGAGTTGCTTACATACAGCCTCAGACTTTGATTACCAGTGCCCAACGGCTATTAGCAACTCATCTAGTGTATATATAATATTTTCCAGCAATGGCTACTACAATAATACTGTGCTGTTCATCTTCCAAATATAACAGGTTTAATTCCTAAGGAACTCGTCTATAAATAGACTATAAGGGACAAAGATTACAATGTATATACAGTTAACAAAATTGTAAATATTTTAAGTAGGATGTGAGAACAGTTTTTAGATTAGTCCTCGCTGTTCAGTGTTCTAGCTCATTAAATTTTTTTCAAGCCTCTTGGTATTGGGTGTGTCTCTTAAAGCTCTGACCCCTGGCTCTGTAACTGTGAAGAAAAATATTTAAAACGTGACCCGAGGACTTGCAACTTCAAGGCAAAAAGGAAGAGCCTCGCCGGGCCGGGCCGGGCGGCTGGTGCCCACCT